ATGTAGATCCTCATAAAGTGGGCGGTCTTTTGATTGATTGACAGAGGGAAGTTAACCTATCAAGAACAAGCCTTCTTTACTGACCATAATCCTTGTATCATTTGTTTTTTACTTCCTGCTGTTCTTGCTGACAAGTGGTCTCCAATATTTATCAAAGTCATCGATGATGTTTTTTACCACATCACAAAGAAAACATACATCATCTTACAACTGTGTGCATTGTGCAGTGAACAAAATTTTTCTAATTCTCTACAGGAGTTTTGATTACCTTGGATAAATCTACTTTTTTAAAGGGACCGACTGTCTGACAAAAAAAAATATCACTCAAGGATATCATTTTTTATTTCTTTATTCTTCAAAGTGTTTGATTTTTGCTAAACAAATCACTTTATTTATGTCAATATTCCAATCCTTTTATTCTGGATGCTTTGTATAGACTAGAGAGTTATAAAAACCAGTTTTCCTAAAAAAAAAGACATTTTATTTATACTTTTTAAACAATGAAACATGAGTTTATTTCAAGCATATTTTTTTTATATTTCTTTCTTTGAATTGATCATTTAAAAGAAAAAATATTACACTTCTACATTATAATTTTCACTTCCTACCACCTCTTCTTGCATTCCTATCACACACCTCATTCAGCAACTCTCTACCTTGAGTGGTTCTCGAGCCATGTATTGAGTGAACACTATTTTAAAAAAAAATGAGAAATAAGTGACCAAACCAGGGTAAATGGCTAAAGATAAAAATAAAAAAAATCATTCTTACTTCAGAGGAAATGTTCAGTGTCTGTTACTTCCAAAAGTAAAAGATATATTACTGCATTTGATGGTCTCAATTCTATCCTATATGATAAACCAAAGCAAAATAGTACAAATTAGTTTATAATTTCATTATCGACTTTAATCGATGCAATACCAGCTAATTGGGCCATTTAAATAAATTAGGCTAAAAAGGAATTTATTACTGGATACCTACTTAAAAAATTATATCTGTTATATTTGTCAAGTAATTGTTGCAGTTATGCCTCTCCACAGAAAAAATAGAAAAAATTACCAAACGTATGTCTATAGTGAGAGTTGTCAAACCCTCATAAAAACACCCACCTGTGGTATTTTAAACTAAAAGTAAGTAACATTTGTTTCTAATCATCTTAATGAAAATTTAAATCAGCTAATCTTCCTCTAATAAAGTTTCAGAAAAGTTTATTTTATTTTGAAAAGATTTTTTTAATAAATTGAGTTTTGTTGTGCTAATATTTTAGTGATTTTAACGATTTAAAAAAGAACATTCCAATCAATTGAAAACTAATTCGGTTTGAAATACAACAAAGTATTTATTGGAAATATTGCATTATCCTCTGGGTTAATCATGATCTTTTCTACATATCCTCATATTCACGTCTTAACCCCTTCCTTCGGTAACTCTTTATGTTGAGTTGAGAGTGGCTTGTATTGGGTGAATAATAGTATTAAAAAATAGTCTTCGGCTACTTCTACAAAATAAACTCTCCGTTTCAACTGCGGACATGAGTACATGATGACACAAATAAATCTTTCAATGGTTTACCTCTAAAAAGTTGTTTTCGTTATTTTTATACAAATTTGCTGGCTAAATGCAAGCTTTAGTGAAGAACGCCTACCCTAGAGTAGATGTTAACATACCAGTCTTACAAGCAAATTATTGCCAGTTCGTGCCCATCCTCACATGGTATCAAAATTGGCTAACGGTAGGAAAATAATTACTGTACATACTTGCGTATCATGCGACGTTTGAAGACCTAATTTTGAAGCTAATTTTAAGGGGGTCGTATCATACACGAAATATAAAATTAGCGTGTGTACTGCTGGCCCTGGCTACGCCGCTAACCAAATTATATATCCATTTACCACAGTGAAATGTACAGCTGTATTTATATTTTACTTAACCGTACCCATTGTAATATTGTTGTAATCTAGAAAGGGTTACTGAATGAGGAATAACCAAAACGGAGGTTAGAAATGAAATGGTCAACAAAATACAATACTCGCCAGCGGCGTGAAGTAGGTAAACCACTGCTAGTGGTAAACTATTATTACCCCCACTTACAATAGTGTCCAACGTATTTATGAAGATTGGGACATACCCATTAGTGTTCATAGGTACGGTATATAACAATTATTCACATTTAGTATCGTATTATTATAAAATACAAACAGCAAATATGCATCTTTCTTTTCCATTGTTTACGTTTATAAGATGTTTAGCGTGTATAGCGTTACTAACGATACTTTTACCACTCTCTTTTTAAACTTATTTAACTAGAAGATGGGATAAAGATATAGAGGAAATATTTTTTTATAAGCGAAAGTTTGAGTCGAACGATAAGCGAGGTCGCGCTTTACACGCGTTATACGGTATCTTAAAAAAAAGATAAGTGCGTCCCAACAAATAAGAGACGTATCACAGGGGAGATAATCCGATTATTAGGCTGTTAGGTCAAGAGTACCTCAGCTACAGATTTCTACACACTATTTGTTGCCTTCATTTATTCCTGTGTTTTACATTAATAGATTTTTATGAGTCAAAAAAAATTTGCTAAGCAAATTTTTAATACATCCGCTGACGCAAGAAAAACAAGATTTTTAATCAAAATTTCGAATGTTCAACTAAAAAGGATTAAAAATTTAATAAATATTTAAAAAAATACTTTGATCTTTCCTCTTAGTAATAATATATACAGATTTCGATGATAAAATTGTGTTTTCACAATTTGGAGCATTTTTTCCTCTGTGTATGCTAGTTTTTTTTATTTTGTGGAGATAGATAGATAGATAGATAGATAGATAGATAGAAATCTAAATTTCAGGTCTTGAGATCATTTTTATACTAACTTTATAGAAAGAAAATTTACTCGATTAATAACAACAACATTTGCAAACCTTAGTTTAAGAGCTACAAATGATAGGAAGTTGTGAAGAGTTATGATCGCTCGCGTCCTCCAGAAGAGACACATCACATAGAAGAAGATTTACTACTTGATTAATTATATTTTTGTTAACGAATACCGTAAAATAAATCGCTTCAAAAACTATTCTTTCTATGGTTATAAGCATAACCAAGTCTGACACAAGATCACAAGAACAAAGCAATTAGCTTACATCGAATTAGTGAATCGGTCAACAAGACGCACTTGCTGATCATTCGGCTATGGTAAATACTCCAAAAAAGTATTTCCTGGGTATAGTTCAGACTGGGAAAAGATCGTACGTGTTGGGTACGTAGTGAGGATCGAACTCACTATATTTGTCAATCAATTTAAAAAGGATGCGATTGTTAACTATTGCTCCACGATAGACGCTCTTATTGTTTTCTATAAAAATGCTTCAAGCTTCATTTATGGTGATGGTAATGGCGTAAGCGGGGATAGTTCCGTTGAAGAAAAATTCTTCTTCTAAAGAGAAAAGCGTTCTTTTAATTATTTTATAAGTTGCATTACTGAATAAATGTTCGCATCAACAGAGATTGCGCGTCTAAAATGGATAAAAACTTTAATTAAACCCTGTTGCACCTGAGTTCTAATTACACAGAGTGATTGGAATAAAACATGTGGCTGGAAATAATTATTGGAAATTTTTTATTTTCATAATTTTCAATAATGTAAAAAGATGTATCTTCGAATGTGCGCAGCCTAAAAGAAGTATGGGATAATTTCGTGATTATTTGATAAAAGTCATAAAACAGGTGGTTGTAATAAGAATGTCCAGCGTGGATTTTTCTGAAAAAAAAAAAAAGAAAAGAATAATCGCCAAGACCTGTCTATTTGAAACTCAAAAGGCACTACCTTTTTTTGTTGCTTTGTTTATCTGCGGTTCCATTTACAAATCTAAATTTAGGAGAGTCGTTTTTACAACTCGTAGCAATGGTAATGATATGTATTATTAAATATTGTGTTTTAAAATCTGAGATAATCTTGTAGTAAAAGATTTTTTATTTAATTTATTAATTAACATTCTTAAATAATGCGCCCCCAGCCCAAGCAGAAAATCGCTCTGGTGAGAAAATGTCAATGGTAACGCTGAGACACTGAAAAAAAATATTTGAACGATCTTTGAAAAAATTACCAACCAGAACTGATCCAATACAAATTTGCTTTGCACAACGTCAGTAATTAACGTGACACTTTTTTGTTGTTTTTTGTTTGTTTGTTTTTTACTGGTAAACAACACTGAAACATGGATAGATATGAAACCACACTGTTAACAACAGTGGAAGAAGACTTTAACAAAACCTACCCAATGATCTTCTTGTGTAAAGGACCTAATATAACAGCTGAACTAGCTTTAAGCGAATATGAAAAATGGATCTCTTCCCTTCTTTTATCTGTGATCATTTTCATCGGCTCTTTGGCAAACCCAATAATGGTGATATGCATATATCGGATCTGGTCTACAAACATTTCCATGTGCAGAAATCTTCTTCACTTAGCCATCGGTGATATGATCCGGGTATTTTTCTGCCTACCGATTCGCGTGTTCACTTATTTCCAACTGATTACGTTCTTCAATAGTAAAGTTATGTTAGTTTTTAAAATCTGGATATTTCTAGATATTTTCACTGAAATTCTTCAACTTTTTATTCTCTTGCTGATTAGCAGCGATCGCTACTACGCAGTTGCAAAGCCGTTTAAAAAATACAATGATCCGAAAAGGATATCATTTACGTTGATTTGTTCATGGACCGTTTCTATAGTCGGAGCCAGTTGCGCTTCCTATTTCTACGAAGACTACCTAAAGATAATAGAAGCGTGTGAAACTAATATAATGTTGTATTTACTCATATCTTTATGCTTGATGTTTGAGTTGGTCATCGTCATTGGCATCCTTCAATTTTACTTGAGAACGATTTATTTTCTGTATAAACAGAAAATGAAAATGCAGATTTTGAAACGAAAAAAAGTTCACCCTTTCACCACTCATTCAGATGTTAAAGAAAAAAACACTACACATCCCAAGAAGATGCTGTCAAAGTCGATAACAGGAGAGAAAGAGGAAATGATGAATAATGTCGTCCATCCGCGAGTTGTGGATTCCGCAGTCACTGACTTTAGAAACAAAGCTCCCCAGAAGGAAAGACAAACGGAAATTAAAAATGACTCAGATCTTTCAAAAGGTAAGGTTTTATTTTTATTTTTAAACGCCTGTAAAAAGTTTGTATTTTTTCTTGAATCTAAAAGCTTGAATAAATATACTTAGCACTAAGATATAGAGGTGCCGTTATGTTGCTTAGCGTTGGTGTTGTATAGCATGCTGAAAGAAAGCAGAGTATTGTAGTGAAGAAGATCGTACATTTAGATAAAATCATAATGATTAAGATAAAACAGGTCCAGAATGTATTTCTCGTATGATAAATTCGAGAATGTGAAGACCGTGGCTAATGTAAGTACAAAATTAAAAATCAAAACATTTTTAACATAAACCGGATCAAAATAAACCCGCCAGTTGAAATCCAAGCATAAAAAAAATGAAGTTATTAACTGACCAATCACAGACCAGGAATTAAATCTGAAGTCAGAATCTGAGGTTCGTTTCTAATCTGACTGATTTTTTTCCCACAAGAGGATCTAACCAAGTAAGCAGAAAAGTAATTAGGCTTGATAGAGCACTTCGATATGGTCTCATCACTATCATCCCGATAGACGGGAAGATGCACTCTTCCCCAAATTAACCTTTAACCAATCATCACTTCACTTTTCCAAACTCAACTTCCCATTGGTTAAAAGGACACAAAAATGTAGCAGGTTGAGACAAATCCTTTTTTCCCCCCGCAGCTGTCTGGAGCCTATTTGAAAACTCAAAAATCTATAAAAACGAATCGTTCGACTTGATTCAAGTCAGTCAGACACTGAGTTTCAAGATATGCCATCAGACTCCACGCGTGCTAACACACTGACTCAATAACGCTACCAGCCTCTCATCAACTCAACACAACTCGCACTACTATTGCCACGTGAAGAAACTTAACTTACAATTTACTAAAAAAAAGTGACATTATCACTACGAAATAGTAATTGTACATTTAATCAGTTTTTAGCATATCAGTCAAAGGCACACAACTCTGCATAACTTGAATGGACACTTACAATCGTCACACACATACACACTATTATTTGAACTCACACAATTGACATCTTACCTTGCAGAAATCAAACTGTTTTAATTTCACAAACTTAAACCATCAACATTCATTCACCAAATCTCTGCATGGACACTCTTTGCAATCTTATCTCACTTGCCACGTTTAACAAGCAACCTATCATCACTTTGTGTATGTCAAATATATATATTCATGTTTTTATTGAAATCTATAACTACGTTGTTTTTTCCTTGATTTCTTCAAGTTGTATTGTCTTCATATGTTCGTTTAATTTATTTGTTGTGGATAAATGCATAATGTACACGCACATTTTAGGTCTTCACACAATTTCACCTTCTGACACATCTTACTTAGCATAAATTCTGCAACAGGTGCTCCATGCTTTGGGCCTTGAGTCACATGTAAGCTACGCCTAGTAAATCGCTAATAAGGCATTATACGCCAACGATTACAGACGTCCATGTGTTCATACGCATTCAATTATTTGATTCGTTTTTTTTACGGCTTATCAACCCTTTTCAGGTTATTTAAAGCCAGAAAATATTTTTAGATTGTATGATTTGGGGGAGGAATAATAATTTTAGGATAATAATGATTTAGTAATACAAGTTTTACTAATTAATCCATAGCTGGGAGAAGAAGTGGATTCATACCTTTCCCAATGGTATATGTGCGAACGAACTGAAATTGGAACTCGTTTATCCAATTAACAATTTCGAACTATCATCCATTACACCGCCCAGCACCTGATATTCCCAATCGGTTACCCATTTACGTACTGGCTCAGTCTTCGTTGATCGCATGGGAACCGGTGTTTCAACGCCATATGGCCGTAAGCCAATTATACTTTTAAGCACCCTGAGCTAGTTCAATTTTTATATTAGGCTACTTGTTTATTGACTATATAAATCCTTGTTAGCTTTCATATAATTTTACGTGTCTTAGCTCAGACTGGGACAAGATCGTAAGTGATGGCTACGTAGTGAGGATCGAACTCACTATATTTGTCAATCAGGATGCGATTGTTAACTATTGCTCCACGATAGACGCCCCTTATTGTTTTCTACAAATTCTTTATGCTTTATTTTGTACTAATGGTTCGAGGATAGCTCCTTTGAAGAAAGATTTCTCCAAGCTCTTCGACTAATGAGAAAGTCATTCTTTTAATTATTTTTTATGTTGCATGTTTATACATACAAAACAAATTCCAAAATTCTTTTTAAAATATTGGGGGTCAATGAATTTTACTAAGCTTTTCTATTTATGATTAGTATATATAATTTTTACTTAATAATATCACCTAATCTATACAAAGTAAAACAGATTTGCATTACTGAATAAATGTACGCTTCAATAAAGCGTGTGCGACTACATTATCTTAAACCCAAGTACACGTAGTAGTTTGAATATCTTTTGGTTGGAAATTTTTTATAATTTTTTTTTTAATAATTTTCAATAATGAAAAGATTAGTAAATTTGGACCTTCATCCCCCCCCCCCAAAAAAAACCGGAGTGTCAAAAGGATAATTCTTCCCTTGACACCGCTATTATTTTAACTACCTTCCATCCTCGGCAGTGTTTGTTGTTTTAGAAAGCAATGGTTAGAATTATAATAAAACCTAAACTTATGACGAAAAAAAAAAAAAAAAGAATTTATACATTATTTTTTGTTCTCGAGAATTTACAACAAAAATATTAATCACTATTTATTTATTAGATTATCTATTTACAAGAATAATTTTATATTTACAACATTCTAAAAACTAAATACAATGCAATATTTATCATTTACAAATTTATAAAGAAATAAATATGAAAATAATTTTTATTCATAAATTTATAAACATTTACTAAATTATTAAAATATGTTAACTGACTATAAGGAAATCTTTATTTAACATTTTATAAAGTTCAAATCAATTGCCAATTAGCCGATGTTTTGCCCACTATTCCAATAAACAATCTAATAAATAGTGTTTATTATTTTCGTTGTCAATTCTCAAGAACAAAGAAAATATAAAAATTTACTTTCATATGTTTAGGTTTCATTATAATTCTAATCATTGTTTTTTAAAACAATAAAAATTGCCAGAGAAGTGAAGGTAGTTAAAAAATAATAGCGATGCCAATAGAAAAACCGTCTTTTGCGCAAAAGACGGTTTTTCTATTGGCATTCAAGTTTACCAAAAGATTTGTCTTAGAATGCTCGCAATCTAAATTAAAGGGTGAGGCATATTTTCCTGAATAGTTGTTAAAAAGAGATAGCAATTAAAAAATTGTATTTTGGAAATAGGAAAGAAAAAGTTGACCTCGAATATGACTGGAGCAACATTGATTTTTGTGTATATATTTTTCAGTTCTTGCACTTTATCTTGTATAGGTCTGTCAAATTCAGCAAATATTCTTCCAACTTCACATGTCTTGCTGCCACTGAATCTCTCCTCGGATGTCAATGAAAGCGCAACGAAATGGAACCCCCCAAAAGAAAAACCAGAATCAGTTGCCACGGATTTCAAATATGGTGAGATAGAAGATTTAAAAATGGATGCCACTGCTGATACCGCAACTGAAGTTCTAAAAAATTCTCAAGAGGATGACGGGACTCCGAGGTTGGATATTGTCACCAACTATACGCTGGACGGTATTGCTACACAGACTGAAATTGTCGATGATCAAAAGTCCTCAGTCATAAGCACTAACAAAGGACGTTCATCTTTATGCCGGGCCAACGAAGTCGGCGAAACTGCAGTAAATCTTGTGGCTGACACAAATGTGGAAAATGAAACAGCCTGGGCGAAATCGGGGTTTTCTTCTCCGAACGATTGGAACTCTACTCCAACTACAATCGAGACTGAAAAACTATTCATCATATCGCAACAAGTCGAATTCACTGTCAAGAGCGTCAGTACCCTTTCTGATGATGTAAAAGAGGACGTAAACAGACCCGGCTCATGTTCTAACGAATCGGGTCTCCTGTTAGAAAAAGGTTTTATAATCCCAACAGGTGAGAATGAAGAAGCAATCAAATCAAATAATCTACCAAACATCGAAGCAGAGACACCGACTCAAACGAAATCCTATAAAGAAAATGAAAACCAAAAAGTCACATTGACAAGAAAGCCAGAAAAAAGAAAAAGGAACGCTGTTGCGAAGTTTTCAGGCAATAATTTGCTCTGGACAACAAACAGAATTACGACATTGAAAAACCGAATAGAAAAAACGTTTCAACTGACAACCAGAAAAGGTAGAACTATCAGCATTACGTCACCTTTTTCCATGATGTCAAAGAGCTCCAAGCTCAAGCAACGATATCACAAAGAAGTCCGGATCACCCAAAGGATAACCATTTTCATGATCATTTTGGTTTTTTGCTGGATGCCGCTCTACACCATTCGATTTTTACAAGTCAGTTATTTGCTTAACGACCAATGTTGCTTCTACAAACACTATAAAACTTTGTGGTGGGAGTTCTTATCCGCGTTCACTTCTGCTTTTAATCCTTGTCTGTATGGAATACTTAATATTCAACTGAGAAATGAATTCTATCGCTTAGTGAGACGTTTCCGAAACTTGTTGATGAACTGTCGTTGCTGTAAGTAAATGCAAATACTTTTTTTAATGAGTTCAAGCTTGAATTTTCTGTTGCAAAGCGATCATTTATATATCATTAGACCTTCAGTGGGTAAGTGTCATACTTTTGCAGTCAGGCTTGACTAAGTCTAGTAAATATCTGTTATACATGAATCCATGCAGTTATAAGTTAAATAGAGGGTAGACTTGCCTCTCCAGCATTTGATGGCAACCAGTCTAATAGAAGGAAAATTCGGAATTAGAAACCAACAGGAAACCATTCCACTAGCTTTTTCTAAGAAGAAAAGGAATCTGTAGTGAGCCCTGATACATCCTGAAGGGACATCACATAAAAAATATATATATATATATATATATATATATATATAGACACTGGGGTCAACACCAAGCAACAAGTCTGTTTCATGATTGAGTACAAAAATCAGATAATTGTTAAAATAATTTTAAAAAAATGAAAAAGGGAAGAATTTCAAATCTAAGAAGAGGAATTGGACATTAAGTTAAATGGAATGTTTATGATCCATTATAATAAAAATGAACATCAGTAAACCACTTGTCACTTGAAAGCAATAGGGTGAGTCAAAAAAACATTGAAATTTTAATTGCCTTTTTTTTTCTTTTAAGAAAAAAAAAAAATTATGTCCAAATCTTTTAACATACATATGGTTCTCTATTATCTGCAATCTATCATGGATAACAAGGTTTTTACTGCTCTCAAGTGTTGATTCGAAAATAATAATTTAAATATCCCTCCCCCACATTATTCTCAAATATGAGTCACTTGGCTCACAAAAGAGGATTTTCAAACCCAAAAGGTAGGATTTTTATTTGGTGGGAGGAAATGGGCATTAAATAAAATGGAAGTTTTTAAAAATTATTTGGTTTCATAACTTATTTCAATTGATGTGGCATAATGGGTCAATGGCTCAGAATTTTAAATCAGAGAGCAGAGTTTGAATTCCAGTTGGGTTCATCACAATGCAAATTCCTTTAGGAAAGGTATGAATCCACCTCTATTCCTCCCAGCTTGAACAACAGGACAGACTGGGTACTATAGCCTTGGTTGGCAACCATTCTATCGCAGAAAGAAATAGCATTCTACAGCAAAAAGATTTCCCACCTAGTCAGTCATGAATCAAGAGTCATGATCACCCAAGTGTATCATGTATGGCATTTAACTGACTGAATGTAAAAAAATAAAATGGTAACAAGATTACAAGATGAGAATTCAAAATTAGAGAGAATAAAGACTATAATAAAAATGAATTCTTTTTGTTTTGTCACTTTACACAATTACATTGATTTTTTTTGTCCTATTCTCTTTACTAATTTCCCTTTTTTTATCTCATGCAAAGCAGTTGTTCATGAGCCTCTTTCTGAAGCCATTATGAACAGGTTCAGTTTTCATGTAGAGCATGGCAGAAAATTTCCATCACTCACAGTTAAATACTAAAACTGTAATGAGTGAAATGCTTGTGAACTGCAATTAATGCCTTAATGTGCCATGTTTCTAAAACATTAGTAGAATGCTGAATTTATTAATTATATTAAATATTATTTAATAATCTTTTTGTAAATATTGTTTTATAATGTTGAATTACAGGGGAAGACAGTACTTAAGAGTTTTATGTTTAAAGATTAAAAAACAGAAATTGGTCAGTATTACACCAAAGCCAACCACCTCAAAAAAAAAAAAAAAAAAAAAGCTATGAATTTTGTATCTTACTTTCTTATTAAACTCAATTTAAGGCTGGTAAGTTTGGGCATTATTTCACAAATAAGTCATTGTTATTAAACTAATATGACATATTTTAAATGCCACATGCCTGAAAAAAAATTCCTTTCTTACTATAAGGTAGTCATTTGCAAATATGATCTAAGGGTTAAACAAAGAAAAAAAAAAGGGCAAATATGGACAAATGTGCCCTTAATACAACGTAGTGTTAAAAAGGACAGTTTTCTCCATGAAACAGCTTTTTTAACTACCTTCACTCTTCAGCAATGCTTCTTTTAAAAAGCAAATTAAAATGGGAATAAAACCTAAACAGGATAAAAGTGAATTTATACATTATTTTTTTGTTCTTGAGAATTTACAACCAAAATATTAAACACTTATTTATTATATTTATATATTAAACACTATTATTTATTAGATTGTTTATTTACAAGAATAATTTTATATTTACAACATTCTAAAAACTAATACACTAAGGCAATACAATATTAATCTTTTACTAATTTCTGTCTATATCTCTGAGATGAGGTATTATTATTTATCAAAAAATAAATATTAAAACAATTTTACATTCATAAATTTATAAATATTTACTCAAGTATTAAAATATGTGGACTATAAGGAAATCTGTATTATTAACTATTTTATGATGTTTGAATCAATTAGTGTTTTGTCAACCATTCCAATAAATAGCGTGATATAATGGAATAAGCATACATCTGTGTTCCCCCTCACTGGAATATGATTGGCTGGTGTCCGTCATAAATACAGACGGACGTATAGGTACGACAGAGTGTAAGTCTATGACAACACCCATTAGACTACACTGAGTACCAGTTGATTACTGCTACCATGTACTACTTGGTTATAGTAGCCAAAACCACTTAGCTACTTCGATCAAATATATCCCTTTCCAGGAGATATCATAGTGTAAATAAACAATCTAATAATTAGTATTTACTATTTTTGTTGTCAATTCTGAAGAACAAAGAAAATGTATAAATTCACTTTCATCATATGTTTAGGTGTTATGCTAATTCCAATCATTGCTTCGTCCTCGGTATGACAATAAACTACATCCATGTCCTGGGTAAGACGATAAACTACGTCCAACAGAAAGGCCTCTGATCAGGAGGTTTTGAGGAGTGTAAAACCACCTCTTAATTGCTGGTGTTCACATGTCCACCCTGACCTGGCATTGTAGCACCTGTTAGGGTCCCAGCTATTGGCAAATAGTTAACCCCGAAACTGAGGTAAAAAGCATTATAAAAGTGTAAAAATAGGTTTTAATACCAGAAATACCTTATAAAAAATTATTACCAGAAATAAATTTTTGAAGAAAAAAAACTATTACCAGCAATACATTTTGGAAAAAAAAAAATATGACCAGCAATACATGTTTTAAAATAATATTACCAGCTATACATTTTTGAGGAAAAAATATTACCAGATATAGATTTTTGGCAAAACAAAATATTACCAGGAAAAAAAAAAAGTTGTTGGCATTAAATAACCAATTGAGGTTGATATACCATAAAACACAAAACAAAACAAACCAAACCAATCATTGCTTTTTTTAAAACAATAAATATTGCCAGAGAGTGAAGGTAGTTAAAAAAGCAGTATCATAGGAAAAAGAACATCCTTTTGACACTCCGTCTTATTGTGGACATGTAAGTCCATGCTTGCCAAAAACAGATCTAAGACAGCAACAGAAAAATCCTACTACTCAGAAATTGAAATATTTAAAAGACAACTACAGGACATGAAAAAGGAAAATTTAATATTTAAAAAGTGGAAAACAGAAATGAAGTGGCATAAGAGTTTGATTTAAGTGAGTTATTAATTAAACGATAAAGTAAGCTATGGATGAGAAAACAAATGGGGAAGGATAAGAAGGAAGTCAGCGATGGGAAGCCATTTTGTTTTGTGTATTTGTATGTACCAGTCATCAATTTGATTTAGTTTATTTCTGTTTGCAGATACAGGACCAGCAATGCAAAACAGGGGTAAAAAAAAAAAAAAAAAAAAACTAATCTTTTTATTACAAAAAACCAAAAATACAACAAAAAACAACAAAAAAAAAAACAAACACAAATTAAAGATTTTTCTTGACTGAAAAAGAAAATGTTTTATATGGAATTCTTTCATGTTTATTTAAGAGAAATGAAGAAATTGACATTTTTTTTTTCAAGAAAGTATGTACTGCATAAAGAATCATCCTTACAAATTTGAAGGCCGCTTAACAAGACTTTTTTGTGGGCACCAGACCTCAGTTTGTCAAACATAAAATCCACAAATTCAATTTCTTTTTTTAAGCTTAATTATTTCTTTTTTATTAACCAGTTTCTATAAAATAAAGGTTGTTTTATGAATAACAAACTTAAAAACTAGACTGTCCAGCCTCTTTAGAACCAGAGGCTGGTTTTCAGCCGTCTTATGAATGAGATTTATTCCATACAGGAATCAAGTATTCGTCAGAGTTTAATTACAGGTAATAGGCCTATACCTTTGGTTCCCCACCCCTTGGCGAGACTGCTACAACAGGGCCCCTGAAATGGAACTAGTCCACTCCTTGACCACAAAACAGAAACTAACTCCTTGGAACTGGCTGACAAGATACAAGAAATTTCTTTGTCCGGCAAAAAGAGTAAAAAAATATCCCAGTTCCAAATAGTTAAGTGTCTTTATTCTTAAAACTGCTGATTAGAATTAAGTCCATATTTTGTGATTTTCATAAGAACTTTTTTTTATGGGGTGTTCAAGCATAAATAGGAAACTGACTCCTAAAGACACCGCCACATTTTCCAAATCGGCACTATTTAAATTGACTAGGGAAGAATTTATTTTGTAGACTAACATTCCAGTCACAACATTTGTCAAAATCGAAAAATATTAATTTTTCATCATTTTAAAAGGGGGTGGTCCTGTACATGATATAAATACAAATTCTCAAATTGATTCCAGAGGCTTCTTAAAGACTTACTGGTGGTACTTTTCTTCCTTTTTTTTTTAACAAATGTGAAGTTTGAAACTGGGTTTACATTATTAATAATCGAGTACTATGAATGAAGAAAAAGTACGCAAAGTTTCAAACTTGATATTTGTAAATAAAATAAAAGAACAGATAACACTTTAAGAAGTTATGAACTGGGACCCCCACCCCACTCAAAATTTATAAGAAAATCAATATTTTTTCAATTCTGACAAATGTTGTGGCTTGAGGAAAGTCTAATAAATGCAAATCTACAAAAATTATTTGCCCCCAAACACCTTATTTTTTATGAGCAGACCAGTCAATTTAAGTAGTTCCCCCAAATTTAAAGAAAAGAAAAAGACTTCCACATTGATATGAGAGTACAGAGGCTATAAACTAGAGCATTGTTGAAAGAAATACTCCACATGAGTTGAGGGCAACTCATAAACCCAAGGGTTTGTTTTTATTTAGCAGGTCTCTCCAGGCACTTATTAGCTGTTCTCTTCTTTCTTCACAAGGTCAGTGACATTCTAACCATCAAAGAATGCTCATGAAGTAGTACTTAAATATTCTTGTGTAGTTGCATTGGCCAAGAGGTTAATGGCTGAGAAATCCACTGTAGTAACCACCTGCTGACCAGTCTGTTCATCTCGGGTTATAAGGCTGGGGTCAACAGTGATCTGGTAGACTTCCGTAGTCTGGCCATCCCCCTGTCCGTTTGGAATGGTGGCAAGGTGAGTCTCATGTGATTGGCCATCAGTCTCGGCAGCAGCAGCTGCAGCCACAACTGCTTGCTGCTCTAACGCTTTCCGTTCCTCTTCAGTCACTTCAGCTGAAGTTACAATATACGTCATGACAGCAGCACCGGGATCTTCATGGACTGCTTCACCTGCTTCAATTACGGTAGCTGTAGCAGCAGTCGTAGCTGCTACTGTAGCACTGGCAGCATCTTCTTCAGGGTCTGGTTTGTGTCTACGTACATGTCGGTAGTATGTTGACATGTCATAGAAAGAGAGGTCACAGAGTTTGCATGAGTAAGGCTTGATGCCAGTGTGCTGGTTTAGATGCTCTTTCAAGTACTGCAGGCGTGTGAAGGTCTTGGGGCATAAATTACATAAAAACGGACGGGCACCAGAATGTTTCAATTTGTGTCTCTGAAGATCACCTAAGAAAGAATATAAAATAAATAAATGAAAGTAGAAAACATGAAGAAAACAAGAAATATAAATGGATCATTGCATTTAATATTCAAGATAAATTAAAAATATGACTACATGTCATCTAATATCACAGTAATGCTTCTTAGAACTGTGAGATTAATACTTCAGAATGATACCAAGCATACAGCCAGCTACACTGGAGGCGGGGGACACCAAACATACAGCCAGCTACACTGGAGGCGGGGGACACCAAACATACAGCCAGCTACACTGGAGGCGGGGGACACCAAACATACAGCCAGCTACACTGGAGGCGGGGGACACCAAACATACAGCCAGCTACACTGGAGGCGGGGGACACCAAACATACAGCCAGCTACACTGGAGGCGGGGACACCAAACATACAGCCAGCTACACTGAGGCGGGGGACACCAAACATACAGCCAGCTACACTGGAGGCGGGGGACACCAAACATACAGCCAGCTACACTGGAGGCGGGGACACCAAACATACAGCCAGCTACACTGGAGGCGGGGGACACCAAACATACAACCAGCTACAGTGGAAGCGGGGGACACCAAACATACAACCAGCTACAGTGGAAGCGGGGGACACCAAACATACAACCAGCTACACTGGAGGTGGGGAACACCAAGCATACAGCTGGCTATGCTGGAGGTGGAGGACACCAACAATACAACAACTGGTGTAGAGTAAGCAAGCATATAACTGCCTACTTTAGGCCAGTGCTTCTCAAAGTATCTGATGTGGTGTGCCAGCAATTTCTTTTTCTTTTTATCAGTGAGCAAAACTTTCCAATTCAGCAGTGGTTTTTTTTTTTTTTTTTTTTTTTGATATAGGTCCTATTTCATGGTCATTTTGAGGCTATCTGTACTAAACATGAGGACATGATGTCTTCTTCATTCTAAGGCTAGTCATCATTGACATAACAAGTGTTCCCAGTGAGCTAGGGACCAGTACCATAGTTGTGTCATAATAACAAAATAAGAAAATATTATTTGAACATTCATTGTATTATTCATTTATACCAGAAAAATATAACAAATATAATAAAAGTTGCATCATTTTTTTTTTTTTATTTCTTTTAAATTGATTCTGTAAACAAGTAATTCAATCTCTATCTATAAAAGGCAGGATGTGTGTGTGTGTGTGTGTGTAACAAATGCATGGCCGCAATTTTCGACAGATTTGCACCAAAATTTACATGCACATGCTCCAAGTTAGCAGGAAGGCCAAGACTGACTTTGCATTTCCCAACTTCCATAGATAGTGGAAATAATCGATTTTTCATGCTTCTACGGCAGTTTTTATGTAGTTTGCAGCCATTTTCTAGTGGCCAAAGTGAGAGCCTATAGCTGGCTGCCACGAATAGGCGGGAAGATTCTATTGGCCAGCGTGAGAGCCAACAGCTGACTGACACGAATGTTAACTAGCATGCAAAAAAAATCGATAGCTGCATTCGTCACAAGTGGGAAAAATTTAAATCTGCATGACACTTTACTCCAATTGGCTCATTTGCTGGCTTAAACTCAACCTTGATTCTGATTCCACAGAACCGGGTTGGGTGTGAAAAAGTATTTGTTGTTAACATTCTTTTTTCATTTGGTTTTTCCAGTTATGAGTCCTTTTTTAAAGCTGATCGTTTTGTGTTCATTTTGTTTAGTTCTTTTTTCGTAACAGATTTAATGTTTAGTATAGAGCTTAGAAAAAATTCGCAGTGAGAAATAGGCAAGAAGTAAGGCATGTAGCAACATCAGCATGACAAAGGGCACTCCTTTAAAGGCAAGGAAGGGCAAAAATATGTATACCATACTTTGAGTAGCACTGCTTTGGGCTAAACCAATGTATAATCCCCTAGAGAATTTTATAATTTATACATAATTTAATTATCTCATATATTTGTCCATTGTTCATTGTACAAGAGCCACTCGAGGTTGGGGTCACAGAATCAAAGGTACAGTTTATGAGTATATGTGGGGAAGATAATAGTTGACCATAAACTTGAAGAAGTTAAGAGTATAGCTATTAGGGAAGCATCCTCTTGGGAGTCTGTTCCACAAAGCAGCAGTTTATGCGAAAAAGCTGTTTGAGTAGAACTTACATCTCATCAATGGAATATGGAGGGAATGAGGCTAGTTTTTAAAATGTGCATGGCATGCCGGCTTTTGGCCATGAAGATTAGAACTGGTGAAACTAAGGAATGTAATTCATCTGAACACTTTTCATGTAAATAGCAGAGCCACTGTTCCCACAGTCACTAGAACACAGCCACCATATCTACAGTCACCCGAGCAGAGCTGATCAACATGTTGCAGGTTATTTAAAGTGAGAAAATATTTTAGATTGTAAGAATTTTTTTGGAGATAATAATTAACCACTGATATAAGTACTACTAATTAACACATAGCTGGGGGAAAAGAGGTGGATTCATGTCTTTCCCAAGGGTATTAGCACATAACTGAATATAACAAAACCAACTGGAATTGGTACTTGGCTCTCCAATTTTCAATTCCAAGCCATTATCAATTATAGCACCTGGTATTCTCAAGCAGCTACCCATCTAAATACTGACCAGGCTCGATATTGCTTAACATCAGTGATTGTACAAGAACCAATGTTTCAATGTTATATAGCTGTAATCTGAGAATTTATTTATTTGAAACATAAAGACAAAGGTACATAGTATATCTCTAATCCAGTGCTTTGGAGTCTGGCACAACTCACATAATTCGACAGCTATTAGGCTGTGAGCCTGCCATAAGAATTCTAATTTAATAATTTATAAATTGGTTCATTAAACCAAAGAAGAATCAGCAATATTGTTAGTCCTGATCTGATCTTCAGTCACTTTCACACTGCCATAAGGTTGCCTCTCTGTGCCGTTTCTATAAATACATTCATGGTAATTGTTCAGATGAGCTCATCACTATGGTACCTAGACTTTTTGAATTTAAGTGCAGTACTAGACTGGCATCAAGATCTCATCAATTTACAGTTGAGCTGGCTGGATGTAACTGTAAATTCTATACTAACAGTTTCTTTTATAACACTTCTTGCTTGTGGAACTCCCTTCTGGCTCCATGCTTCCCAGCCAACTTTAATCTGCAAAACTTCAAATGCAAGGTCAAATGCTACTGTACTTTCATTACTCTTTCCTCTTCCCACTCATTATTAATGTTTCTATTCCTAATTCTTCAACACCCTGTAACCCCTTGTGTCTTAGTGGCTTTACTGCCCTGCATGGGGTGAAACTGATTAAAATGAAATAAAGCCAAAGGAATTGAAATTACAATAACATTTTAGTATAAAATTAGATCTGTAATTATCAATGTTTTTTGATTCCAACCAATTAAAAAATGAAAAAGCAAACATATGTCATATATTATAATTTACATGATACAAATTATAATATTAAAAATATATCTATTTTATTTTTTCACACTGTTAAAAAAACTATTAAATTTGTTTTCCAGCATTTCATAGAGTTCAGATCCCATGTTTGCTATATTATAAATGTACAATCTCTACTAGAGAGACATTAAACAAGACTGTACTGGAGTAAGTTACAAAATTAATTTTCAAACTATTTCTGGTCAGTAGAAAAAAAAAAAAAAAAAAAAAAAAACTAAACTGACCTTTGGTAAAAAATGAAGCTTCACAATCAGGTTCAGGACACTGAAATGTCCGATGGTTCAAATGTCGCTTTTGGTGCAGTCGAAGCTGGGATTTCTGTCGGAACGCCTTGCCACATGTGTCACATAAGTGACCTTTGTGTCCTGTGTGGAGGTAAATATGAGTTTGCAAAATTCCTGTCTGCGCAAAACCTCGGCCACAAATTTTACACCTAGAAAAAGTAAAAAGTGGAAAATCTCAAGTTATACAAACCTAAATTGTTTTTAAATAAGCATGCAAGACTTTCTGGAGACGTTCTCTCAAATTTTGTTTGTAATTTTACACTAAAACATGCGCAAAATTTGAGTTAATAACTCAAAATATTATTGTGACACTGTGATTGGGACACCGAGATAGAAGAGGACTGTGAGTGATTTTATCTTAGTCTTAGTGATAAGGACTGTGAAATGGCATCTTCAAAGTGGCCACCAACTTGACCAAAAGATAAAGATAAATAAATAAACAAAAATTTTTGGTGTCAAATAATAGAAAAATGAACAAGGGTCTATATTAAGTCACAGTTGGGACTACAGGAATTCTGGTAGGAAATAAACTGTCCCTTGAAGTAGTGCCAAGCTGCTCATTATCTGGTAATGGTTGACCATCAGGTAGTTCCAGTGCTGCCCATTAGAGTTGCCAGCCATACGTCATATTGTTGAAATGGACAGAGAGGTGATAGTAGAGTCTGGCTGGCTGAAGTGAACAGCTGATCCGTTATTCAGTGACACCAGATATTGTCACCAAGTGTTACCTATCTACCAACCCACCAAGACTATGCAAATGAAGCTTGGAATAAATAACAAAGTATATTGGAAATGGAATTTGCATCTTTTCACCTTTTGTTTCCTTGTCTGTATGCAATGGGCCTATTCTAGTTTTTTTTATGCATATCAACATGGACAAGAATAGGAAAATAACGTACAGTTTGGCTGTCTGGTCAGTGAAAAGCTGGGGGAAAGGCAGCATTGTATGTTTACATTATGTAACTATTTTATCTCTATTTTAAAACCTTTTGTTTTTTGTTTTTTTATTGATTCGTTTTTTGCAGGTTATTTAAAGACAGAAAATATTTTTAAATTATAGGAATTTAGCTGGGGGAGATAATAATAGTGATACAAGTCTTACTAATTAACCCATAGCTGGGGAGAGAAGAGGTGGATTCATAACTTTCCCAAGGTGTATTTGTGTGTAAGTGAATATAACAAACCCAACTGGAATTGGAACTTGATTCTCCAATTTCCAATTCCATGCCATTATCCACTACACCACCCACACATCCAAGTTTACAGCACCTGGTATTTCGAAGCAGTCATCCATCTAGGTATGGATCAGGCTCAACTTCTGTGATTGTATGGAAACTGGTGTTTTAACATGATGTGGCCATATTAAAACTTTTGTTTGTCTGAATTTCTGGGATGAATCATTATTATTTACACTGTTTATATTCGGACTATTGTCCTTATATTGTATCTATTGTTATCACAACCTTTTGGCCATTGTATATCAATCTGGGTAACCTATCAATCAATGTATATCAATCTGAATAATCTATAAGGAATTCTGAACTGAACACTTTATTTAATCTACAGTAGACTGTTCTCATCCCATTCATTTCTAGGGATATCATTTAAATCTCATTTTTATTTAGTACTGTTCAATTATTGCTTATCCATTTCCAGTGAGTGCAAATATACACTGCCCAACACAGGGATTGAATTCACAATCACAAATCAATGCTTTTATCCACTAGGCTATTTGTCTCATGGGACAATTTGCTGTAGTGAATTTGGAGCTTTAGACCTAACATGCCAGCTGATTAGGTTGCAAGTGGAAATAGGCAAACAACAACTGAACAGTACTAAATAAAAATAGGAACTAGGCAATATCCCTAGACATGATCAATGAAATGATTTAGATTAAATAAAGGGTTCAGTTTAGAATTCCCTGTAGGTTACACAGATTGATATACACCTGAGGAAAGCTTGGGGGGTGGGGGGTCTCACAATGACGATGAGGACAATAATCCCAATATAAAAAGTTTAAATAAAACCTGTTTGGTTTGGTTTACGGCATATCAACCTTATTTAATGCTGACAAAATTTTTATTGCTGGTAATATTTTGTTTTGTCAAAAATCTATTTCTGGTAATATTTTTTCCTCAAAAATTTATTGCAGGTAATAATTTTTTTTTTTTTCAATGATGTATTGCTGGGAATAATTTTTTTCAAAAAAAGTTTTGCTGGTAATATTTTTTCCTCAAAAATGTATATCTGGTAATATTTTCTTCAAAAATTTATTGCTGGTAATAATTTTTTTCTTCAAAAATTTATTGCTGGTAATAATTTTTTACAAAGTATTTCTGGTATTAAAACCTATTTTTACACTTTCATAGTGTTTTTACCCCAATTTTAGGGTTAACTATTTGCACACAGCTGGGACCCTAACAGATGCTACCACAATGGGTCAGGGTGGAGCTGGGAACACCAGCAATTAAGAGGTGGTTCCACGCTCCTCAAAACCTCCTGATCAGAGGCCTTGCTGTTGGACGCAGTTTATCATCTTACCCAGGACGCTGATGTAGTTTATCGTCATACCCAGGACGAAATAAAACCTGTGTATTTCTTGGTGGTCCTAAAACTTAAAAAAACAACTGTATCGTTTCTTTTTCTTACTTTCTTGACTATTTCTTAGAGACATTATTTTTGGAAAAAATAATCTCAAAATAGTCACAAGTAACAGTGTCTAATATTTCTGCTTTATGTGTGTCTGCATGAACAGTGATGCACTATCAGATATAGAAGTTCAGAACATGGATTGAATTTGACAATTATTAAATAAGCAACATGTAGGAAATCATTTATAAATTTAACATGTTTCGTCATTTTATTTAGATTCATCAGAAGTTACTGAGAAGTGGAATAAAATGGAGGTTTTTTGAATTTTAAATTCTATGTTGCCTTGTTTTCATTGATTAAATAAGTATTGTGTTTATTTTATGGTGTTTGTATGTATATATATATATATATATATATATATATATATATATATACATTTTTTTCGGGTGTCATGTTAAAGATCATAGAGGTTGGCCCAAGATAGCAAATTACAGGCCAGAAGACCCATGGGCAGTGAATTCTAAGTGATGAATTGCCTTTGACTAAGTTTCAGATATAAGATCAAAACAGCATGAAGTTGGTAGATGGTTGCAAGAATTTTGAAGAGAGGCTAGCCCACACAAAATGGAATGCTAAGTCAACAAGCAGGCATACGTTCTCCTAATCATCTTCCTCTTGCTACCTCCTAAAATCAATGCTACCATATCTGTCCCTCTCATATAATAAAGTAAATATGGAAAAGAAATCATCATTTGTTGATGCAGTAAACGAAGTGGTATTGGTGTTGGAACAGCTGAAGCCAGTAGGGACATGAAATGCTACACTCATGGTATTTGTGTGTTTGTTTAATTCTTGAAATTTTATCATAATTTATGTGTGTATTAAAAAATACGGTATATTAGTGTATTTTAATTGCATAATAAATACTTACAACTCTACCCAATTAATTTATATATGTATATAAATCTGTTTATTTTAATACATATTTGTTTTTAGAAAAATACAGGGATTACTGGATTTTATTTTTAAAAAAATAAATAAATAAAATAAACGACAGAATTTATATTTTATATTTAGAATAAATGGGGATTGATGGTTTTGTAAATGGATAGGATCATTCAAAACTAGATAGGTGACAGTCTCAGAAGACTTTAAAAATGAAAGCAATAGATTTTAATAAACTTGAAAAAAGGGGTCATGTAATATTTTTAGTTCTTATGCTCTCGGAATGAATGCTCAATAAAAATATTTTACCAACATGTTCTAATTTTATAAGACAAACACAAAGAGTCCTAAAAGCAGTCATTTTTCTTGTTTGTGCATGGGATACATTAATCCACCATTAATGGCCATTGTTAAAAAAATGGGATGGTGGCCATAAATAGACAGAAACCTATAAAACTGGATCTCTTTTAGAAACATAATACAATATTGTTTTTTTTAGAAAAAAGCTTAGATAAAATATAAACTTCAATGACAGACCTTCAGGTACAATTTGATCCTTTAATGACTAAATTTTACAATTTCTTTACCTAAAATTTATTTGAACAAGTTCTGGCACTCTATATGCTATGAATTGAAAAATCAGGAAGAAAGGGATTGTTAGCGGTCAGGAATTAAAGCAAATGTTACTTATATGTTCAGTTTATAATGGCTAATGTTTGAGAATTTCTTTTTGTTTAGTTTATTTGCTCTTGCACTGAGCAGTTAATAAAATTAAATTTTAGAGTTTTTTTTCATTTAAGTCAATGTTGATCAAGCAAATATTCATTTTTAAATTACATTTTTTGGGGCAAATAATGATTTTTCATTCATACATTGACAAAAACAATAATACTGAATAGTAAAATCCAAACTAGTCAGTTGTGCTCACTATTAGACTAATGCCTTTGGAAAAGGCATGAATCTGCCTCTTCTTTCTCTAGTTATGGGTTAAATAGCAGGATAGACTGTGCACTATAGACTTGTGTTGTAACCAATCTAAGAAAAGAAAAACTCTAAAGTCCAAACCATGAAGAAGGCAACAGGAAACCACTCCATTATCTTTCCTAAGAAGTCATGGTAATTCACAGATAATAAAGAAATTTGTGAAGAGTTATGATAGTCTACATTCTGAAGGAACATGGCATTAAAAAAAAGAAAAAAAAAAGACAAAATTCTTAATGATAAATAGCTGATCTGAATGATAAAATATTTCCCATTTTTCTAGAAGACATTATTGGCTGCTTTTAAAAAAGTTCTATCATACTCACTTGTATGGCCGTTCACCAGTATGGCTTCTCATGTGAACCTTGAGAGATTTCTTTTCCGTAAAGCGTTTCTTGCATTCAAGGCATTCATAAGGCTTTTCACCTGAGTGTGTTTTCTCGTGCCGTAATTTGTTACCTTTTGTAGTGAAACCACGTCCACAAATCGAACAGGTAAATGGTTTCTCCCCACTGTGTCGACGTCGATGAACTGGAAAAATCGAATAGTAAAGAAAATCAAAATAAGAAGGTCAGTAGGGGGGGGGCTGTTTATTTAACCAAGTCCACTTATACAGTATCAAATCTACATTAGATTGTTTTCAGTCTTTTAATCACTTCCAGACTAACAGAATTAAAAGTACTGGGGAGCTGGAAGCATTCAGTTGAATTATAAACAAAAAATATATTAACGATTTACATCTCCTCAACCATATTGTAATACTGAACTTACCTGCAATTACTTTGAGATACTAGCTGAAATTCCAATCTACACTAATTAATAGGGTAAAAGGTTAAAAGTTGTAATGATCAGTGGGCAAAAACTGTCAGAATCAACTTCAAAACTAAATATATATATATATATATATATATATATAGTTTCTTCTCATCTTTTAACAACCACACAAAAAAAGCTTATTTGCGAATATGAAAGGATCTTACCGAAAATGTGTAGAATGTGTTTAAATTATTTAACGAAACCTGAATAAATATATATTACATACACCCCAAATATTTATTCGCTTATCTGTGTATGCATGCTAACATACATATATACAGTTGCTAATACCTAATTATTTAGTTCATATCTACATTTTTATATATATATATATATATATATATATATATATATATATATATATATATATATATATATATACACACATTCTCACTTAACAACTTACCTGTTTAATGATCCCCAAATTTACAACCAGCTATAAAGTCTTAAAAAAATAAATCCAACCATTTCGTATCATATAGAGTATAAAAACTTTGTGATTGTTATACTCTGCTTCAAATTAGACCTCTTTCTGATTCACTCTACATCAAATCCTGATGGACAAATTTGAATAATAAGAACGCAAAACTAAAAATAAAAAAGTTTTTCTCTGTGCAGCGGCTCCAAGCATTACATCCAGCTCACAAAACAAATACCCTCAAAAAAAAATTTATAAATGGCGATGATCACGAATACTGCCACATGACAAAAATGCTCACTCATGACAGTGTGAGCAGTCATGGCAAGCAGGAAAGCTGTTAGCATCACCACCAGTGACCTTGGTCAACCAACCCAATACACACATTAATTCCATCCTCTAGGTCACCTTTCTCACTCAAAAAGAGACATTCAGTTTTGATCTGCTATATCAGAAGTACAAAGAATTCTTTTCTTTCTTTTACTGATGCATTTTGTCCTCTGATGGAATTCATCAATGTTTCGTTTTGTCTAGTGACTATTACTGCCAATAATGCAAGACTCTCCTCTAGGTTACTGGCGTGCTTATGAAAAAAAAAAAATGCAAAAATTTGCCTCTCTGACGAACGTCAATAGCCTAGGGGTTAGAATCTACAACTGATACCAAATCAGTCAGGTTTCAGTCCTGGCTTGAAGGCGATCAGATGTCTGGCAACACTGAGGAGCTGTGATACAGTGAAACAGTCTGTATGTGGATGACTATATATATATATATATATATATATATATATATATATATATATATATATATATATATAGTTCTGAAAAGTAGTTCAAATACTTTCTAATACCAAAGTGAAAGCAAATGAAATGTATAACTAACAAATTTATTTTTTGCAATCTTTGTTACCTGTAATTGAATTGAAATTAAAAAACTCCTATATAACACATTTTGTTTGTTATTTTTATTGATGGAGTCAGTATATATATATATATATATATATATATATATATATATATATATATATATATATATATATATATATATATATATATATATGTGTGTGTGTTTGTGTGTGGAAATGAGGAGGAAAGACAAGTGCTGGTTACAATTTTAACTTGAAAATGTTCATAATACTGGGACGCTTATCTTTAATTTTTCTGAGTTGATTTCTGGTGACCCCCGATATGTACGTAATGAGCTAACCTAAAGAGATATCAAAATAATCTTTGCATTCAGAGGATTGAACAAGACACACGCATCACAGGATGTCTATGGCTGTCTTCAACATGTAAACAGGTGGGGGGAAAAAAAAAACAATATCTCACATCCTTGTAAGAACCCCATTCAGAGAAAGCCCCTCCCCCACAACTCACACCAATATTAACTGACAAAATTCAGATGTGAATAAAGAATTTTACATACGAAAGATTTAGTCCCATATTTTTATCAGTCTTTGCAACAATAACATTACAAGTTTAAACTTTAAAGCATTTTTTCAGTACAATGGCTTAAAACTCAAACTATTCTGTTATGTCATGTGGAGCGGGGGTGGCTAAATTAAAATGAAAAAGGAGAAAACTTTTTTTTTTTTAATCATTTTACCCCAAGCAAAGCCACAAAGACACAAGATGTTACTGAATATGAGAAAAAAAGAGAACATTATAAAGAGAGAGAACAATAAAAGGACAGGAGCATCTGTCTATATTTCTGAGATGAGGCATTATGTACACCACTTACATTATTCGGACTATTGTCCACATCTTTGTTGCCATATTTATCACAAAGTTTCGGCCGTTGCATGCTCTGGCCTTCTTCAGGTGGTTAGAATGTCGAACTGAACCCTTTATTTCGCTCACTGGAGTAGACTGTTCTAGTTCCATGTGCCATGTTTAATGGATGTGCCATATCTAATGGATGTCAGTTATCTCCTCTTAATTCCTCTCCCCAAGTTCTCCACCACCTTAACCAAGTATTGAACTCACACTCTTTGGGTCCTGTCACTGAATCTAACTAACACCTTTATGCACTGTGCCATCTGTCCTCAAGTGGATAAAGGTGTCAGTTAGATCCAGTGACAGGACCAAAAGAGTTCAATACCTGGTTAAGGCGGTGGAGAACTTGGGAATTAAGAGGAGATAACTGATAACTAACATCCATTAGACATTGCACGTGGAACAGTCTACACCAGCGAGTGAAATAAAGGGTTCAGTTCGACATTCCAACCACCTGAAAAAGGCCGGAGCATACAATGGCTGAAATGTTGTGACAAATATGGCAACAAAGATGAGGACAATAGTTTGAATAATGTAAGTGGTGTAAAAGAACAGGAATTAAGAAGACAGATTGACATTTCATTTAAATGTTTGAAGATCAAAGTTGACTGGAAAGCAAGAAACCAGAAAAAACTTCCACAAGTGAGAAGTGCAATAGAAGAAACTATTAGCATAGAACTTAGTTACATCTAGCCATTTCAATTGTAAAATGATGAAACCTTGATGCCAATTGAGTACTGTGCTTAAATTCACAAAGTCTAGGCATCAAAGATGAGAGATCATGAGAACAACTACCATGAAAATAACTATAGAAAAGGTACAGGGAATCTATGTTTCAGCACTGGGAAAATAACTGAAGCTGGGATGCTAGGTCAGCACTAATAACATTGCAAATTCTTCTTTGTATTTTATCAAGAATCTCTAAATACATGGCAGAAGCACCAGGCCATATGTGACAGCAATATTCAAAGCATGGATAAATGGTAGACTTATAAGTGTGTAATAACTTACCAATAAGAGCAGCCATATACTGCAGCTGTAACCCACATACTTCACAAGTATAAGATCCACTGGAATTACGTGGCAGTGATTTCTTCCGTCCCCGGCAGGAAGTCCGCGACTGGATAGTCGCTTTCACCTCCTTGGAGATAATGTTTAGAGCATCAACACAGGCTGGGTCATTAAGATCTGTTTCACTTGTATTTACTAGACGAGCAGGACCATCGCCATCAGGTAGTTCCAAATCAAAATACATATCTGTCTTGTCTTTTCGAATCCGAATCCGCTTACTTTTACGAAGCACAGGGTTATTCTCCGTTTGGGCCTGAAATTTCTCAAGGTCCGTCTTTGCAATATCTTTCATCTCTTCCACATCTAATATCGTTTCCTCTTCCACCATTTCTTCTTCATCTTCGATCACTTTTTTGAGTTCATCTTTCCGGGCATCATCACAATCTTTCATATCATCAGACAGATCCTTTTTAGCATAGATATGAGAGATTTCCACTGGCGCAGACAACTTTATTGTCTGTTTGTCACTCAACCTGTCACAAGTGACAATGTCAATGTCTGGATAGCAGAACATGGTCTCAGTGACATCTTCCTCGTCATTAGACAATACACTGCCATTGCATTCCACTGGGGTCTTGTTCTCAGAGCACACCACTCGCAGCTTTTCTGCCAGGGCCATCAGACCCGGGGTGTCAGCATCTGAAACTTGACCATCTGTGATCTGTCCATCTACTTGAGAGGAGACCACCTCCTCCACATGTTCCAGTTCAACCACATGTAAATCTTCGTCCGAGGGAGGCTGATCAGCTGAAGAAAATTTGATTCTCACAGAAAGATCTTTCCAAAAGTGTACAGCTTCCAGTTTCATACAGTCTGGCATTGAATTGAACAGGCAAATGGCTTCTTTTATCTGAGGACAAATAAGAAAAAAATGAAAAATCAAATTTTTTTGAAATTCATAAACATGAAAGAAATGCTATTGATGTTAAGTTTATAAAATAACATTTCTGATTATGAATTAGATCAGCGTTTTTCAAAGTTTTTTTTTTTTTTTTTACTGCGATCCACAGAAAGAACCACATTTTGCATTGTGACCCCTTATACCTAAGTGTAATAAATCAAAGACAAATTCTGTTCAATACGTTCATTTATTTAGCATCAACAATTTATATGTACTGTATATACTCGCATATCGTGTGACTTTTGAAAACCTAATTTTGAAGCTAATTTTAAGGGAGTCGCATCATTCACGAGATATAAAATTAGCATATGTACTGCTGGCCCTGGCTACACCATTGACCAAACTATATATCCATTTACTGCAGTCAAATTAGCTTTAAAATTAGGTTTCACACTTATTGGAATTGCACATATCTATTGTGTTATCTATTTGTATGAATATAAAATTATTATTTTTAGAAAAACAAATTTAAAGGAAATTTCATCTTATTAGGTGTCTCAAAAGAAGTCAACGTTGCTTGCTAAGGTTATCATCGTTAATAATGTTCATGGAAGTTGCGTTTTCAGATGTATGATGGCCCTCCTATTCCTTCAGAATTCTTCTTTTTTGGAATGATATAACGATCCACCATTAGGATTGCTTCTGAAATATTTAAATAGTGTAAGGTATAAGTTAAAAAAAAGAAAAAACTATCTTGTTCTTAAATTTTGCTGAAACATCAGCCAACTCACCAAAAATTCCAAGACTTAAAATGAACACATCATCTTTACTACCACAGAAAGATTTGACATCAAGTCAGGAAATTCACTTTTAGCCCTGACTTCAAATACAACTGAATTATTCAACAATCTTCACAGCTTTCACCAGCCATGAAGACTAACACACTGCACACCTTTGTAGCTAAGTTTTGGCGCGAGGTCTCTCTGAGAGAGAGAATTGATGTCACTCAGTTGACAACAAGTTTGACAAACAAGATACATAAACTCAAAGAGAGCAGTCTATATATATATATATATATATATATATATATATATGTGTGTGTGTGTGTGTTTGTGTGTGTTTGTATGTGTGTACACACAAATTCTCAATTGCATGAATTTAAGCATACTACTAGATTGGTAAGTAGCTCACCCAAGTTTTACTGCTGAACTTGACAGATGTGATTAATGGATTATTACTTGTATATAATTATATTTCAAGCAAATAAAATATAAGTACGTCCATGAGATTGCTTAAAAAAAAAAAAAAAAAAAAAAAAAAAAAAGAGCATAGCATGATGAAAAAGACACCAAACTTGACAAAATCAAAATTTTATCATCTAAATGCTTATGTTATTATTAAGAGGAAAGATCAAAGTTTATTTTAATTATTTCTTAAAATTTTTCCTTCTTTTTAGAACATTCTAAATTTTGATTAAAAAAAAACCTTGTTTCTCTTTGTATCACCGGAACTAGTAAAATATACAATTTTTAGCACATTTTTTTTTGTATGTCACATTAATTTGGAAAATCTTGCAAAAATAAAAATAATTGTCAGATGTTAATGAAACTTTCAGAAATTATTCACAGATGATCAAAATTATTATGTTTTTTTTTTTTATTAAAGTCATGGCAGAAATATTTTTTTTATATTTATTACCCCCCCCATAACTAATTTTATGAAAACACTAGAAATTCGATCACATCAGGCTTAGTGATTACATTAGTTAAAAGCACAAGGCTTTGAGGAATGTAAATCCCGTTTATTTTTGTTTTTAATTGGACCCCCGCCTACCTGAAAATCAGCTCTGAATTGTAACATACAAAACTCAATAAAACAAAGATATTATTTAATTTCAAATGCTTTTATTTGCTTTTAGTTGTTTTTTATAAATATGGACAATATTTTCTGAAAGCAAAAAAATTTTTCAATGAAAAATGAATTTTTAATACAATTATTTGTTATTTCTTTAATTATAATAGATTTTTACATTTAAGTTGTTAAAATATTACAAAATTAGTTAAAAGCCGTATCAGGTTTCCTAAGTGTCCTTATGAGATAGATCTTTTTAGCACGTTGTAAATTGTATCATTTTGACTAATCAGAAGATCCACAGCAATTAAGAAATGTAATTTTGTGCTTATAATCGGGCTGTAATTATAAAGTATGGAAGACCAACCAGAATACAATTAAGTTGCTTTATTTGAGTTAAGCATTGTTCTCCGCTGTTAAGGCCTTTACTTTTGCAAAACACGTGTGGAGAAGTTAATTTGATTTTTCAATTTCAACTGAGAAGGGTACCTACAAGTATCAGTATCATCTTATGAAATTTATATGATCTTATTTTTATATTAATCTCAGTTTTGACATTTTTCCATAAATGAAATATCAAAATTAATAATAAAATGAATGGAAATACAAATAACACAGTAAAATGTAATAAATGTACATAAAATTATAGTATTTCATGTACACTTCTGATGAAAGCTAAGTACAAAAAAAAAATATTAGAGCGCTGAAAGTTTTCCTTAAAAATAACGAGGTAAATAATTTCACTTTTTTCCTTTCGTAGAACAAATTATCCTCACAGAATCCGTCAATATATCATTCATCACCTGTCAAGTAAGGCGAAAGTTTGTGACCTGCTTTTGTTTTATTTCCAAATTACATCTTTTTGGCACAGAAGCTAAGTTAAACTTAGTTCAAAATATTTTAAATAAACATTATAATTTCTGATTTTCTTAAAGCTATTTCTTCAAAGTACAATTCTTCAAGTTTAAAATTTGATCACAAGAATTGTACTTTAGAAAAGCTGAATTATAATTATTTACATTATTCGGACTATTGTCCTCATCTTTGAGATGAGGACAATAGTCTGAATAATGTAAATAATACCTCATCTCAGAAATATAGACAGATAGCTGATTTATAAGAAGTAAATTAGCATGGTAAATTGTTATCAATAAGTAAAAATAGTCATGTATACAGGTTTGCCATTTATGAGAGGATAACTTTTTTTTTATATAGAAAGACCACTGTATGTAGCAGCTGTTTCAAATACTGCAATCTCTTGAAGAGTGCGTAAAACAAGAGGGAAAAATCTTTGAGAATAAGTTCAGAGAATGGCCTTGGAAATCTATTACATTCTCACATAGAATAATGTTTAGTAAGCTAGCCTTGCACAGTCTTATTACAAGAGTTACTTCAATCCTCACAGGGGGTCCAATAACAGTGGTCAGATACCAGACTAAGCTAAACTTAGCAAATATCTTAGTCATTTGACTAAACCAATTTTCTCTTGAAATGCCAAACACAGTTACTTTGAAACACTTTTTTGCTATCATCCCAAGGTTATAGATACCACCTTGCATCACAGCTATTTCCTGGGATTCCATTACCCTGAAATTTTACATATAGTCATGTAGCATTACATGAAATTGATTGTAATTTAATTGTAATGATTAGTTTTGAAAACAGGAATAGAAACATAACTCTGAATTGTGTTATTAGGATTTTCTATAGAAGCACATTTTTCACCATGGGAACAAGACAATCAAATCACACAAAACAGTAACTCCAAATATGAAGAATTAAGAAAAATTAACTTGATTTCATCTGGCTGTACCTCTTTTTCTTCTAAAAAATAAATACAAAAATATTTTTAAATTGGTAGAGTGGTAGTCATACACTTTAGATGTGATTTGTTTCAGGCAAAAATTCAGTTACCCATTCATTACTCTTTTTTGTCTTCTATCAGTATGGCTGATGCTAACCTCCAGGAGATTGATTCATTAAACCTTCTCAGGTTTATATTTTTTACTGACATGAAGTGGAAAGGTTATATTGAATCAATTGCAAGATCTGCCGTTAGGAAAGTTAGTCCACTGTTTCATTCTAGACAATCTATCTCACCAGAATCCATCTTGCACATTTATAAGTCTACCATTCATCCATACTAAGAATATTGCTGCCACATATAGTCTGGTGCTTCTGCTATGTATCTAAAGATACTTGATAAAATACAAAGAAGACTATGCAATAGTCACTTTCCCACCATCATCTTATAGCTTCCCTGTGTCTTTTCTATAAATACTCTCATGGTAATTGTTCTGATGCACTTTCCTCTATGGTAACTAGACTTTATGAATTTAAGCACAGTGCTAGATTAGCAACAATGTCTCATAATTTTACAGCTGATATGGCTAGATGTAACCAAGTTCTATGCTAATAGTTTCTTCTCTTGCACTTTTTACTTGTAAGAACTTTCTTCTGGCTTACTGCTTTCCAGTCAACTTTGATCTTCAAAAATTTAAATGCAATGTCAATCATCATATTTTTTTCCTTGAATCTCGTTCTTTTATTGCCCTCGCTCCTTAATAATGATTTTTCTCAGTTTCTTTCACTTTGTATTTTCAAGGTTTTATCACCTTGTTTAGTGTGAAATGGTTAAAACAAAATAAAAATTACCCACTGAATTTTCAGTTTTACCTCATCAAGAGTAATACACCCTGTTTGCTGACTGCTGGTCTAACAGCATTTTTTTTTTAAGTGTAATACAAATAATACAATTGTAAATTACTTATGATTGTTTTTAGAAAATTGTAAAAAGATTCTGTCAGAGTTTTTAATAAACACCAATTTTTCAGGTTAATCAGAGCATCCAACCAATTCTAAAATAAATATTCCAACATTAACATCAATCACAGATTCCCAGAGTTATAGCAGATACTCAGGTAGAATGAACCAATGTAAATGTATTTAAATAAAAAGTATTTCCAAATTGTAGGGTCCGTTATTTTAACAAAGGGGTAGGGATGTCCTACTTTGTATTTAATCTGGTCGGGTTCTTTTCTTTGCAGTCATGGCAAAACCCCAAAGTACCAGATGGAAATTTCTAGATTTAAACCCAAATTGCAGGAAATTTTCTTTTTTGATTTCTATTGAGCATTTATTAGAAATTTCCATAAGAAATTCATACATTTATAACTCTCTCATACATTGTTTTTGTTCATGTACCCAATATTCCAATGATAAATGATTTCTTTTGCATTGATAAGTGTAAATTCTGAGTTCATATAATCAAGATGGGAGGTGTACTGTACAAAATCATCTGCAGAGGAGAGGAGATGTCAAAATTGTGATATTAAAATTAACTCGGAAAAAAAAAGAAAAAAAAAGATACTCCTAAAAGATTTTTACAAAAACTTAGTTTTTATCTCAATACTTAAAAACCCATACACACGTGAAAAAATATTCAAAAAACTGAAAAGTTAATTAAATAAATAAACAATAACAACAGTAACACTGCTGTGTCCATTTAATTGACAAGACAAGAACAGAGAAAGTAATTTAAACTGGCATTGTTAAAGGTTGCTGATTTTACTAAAGTATAATTTCTCCACTTTTTTTTTTTTTTTTAAAATACTAATAATTTGAACTTTATAAAATAGAAAACAAAATCCTATTAAAATACGGAACTACATATAATATGGCTCAGCCCTAGCGTTTTTAAATGCAAAGACAGGGGGCTTAATTTGTTCGCATTCAATAACCGCGCTAAACAAGATTTTCAATCAGAATTTTAAAATTTTAGTGCTTGACATACAGCAAATACATACATTTTTTATTAATGTAAATGTATATATGATGCATACATTTACATTAAAAAATATGACATACTGTCTGAGAAAGCTATTCAAATATTTTTGACTTGTACAACAACAGTCTTTTAAAAAAGTCGAACGAAAAGCTTGTACTTGTAACAAAAAAAAATGTGTACCTGACCAAAGGTTTATACTACTCAATCACTAATCATTACTAACAGTAATACTGAACGAATGTAACAGCGGGTTTTAACTAATGAACGTACTTAAAGAAAATTTTAATTTAAATTCTAATAATTTGATACGAATTTACGGTTTACCGTTGTGAATTGAATGTTACAATTGAGAAATGCTTTTTTTTAACAGCTACATCTGTTTTGTTCGAGTCGAATAGCTGTTAAAAGAAAATAAATTTAGTTTAGCTTATAGCAAATTTAAGTGAAAATTTTTTTTAAAAAACAAATAGCTTTAGTTTAGTAGTCATTGTAATTGATGATGTGTATAGCTAATTATTGATCGAAAAATTAGTTGACAAGCCCTACACAATTCAATATTTAATTAACCAAAAGCATATTTTAAAGAAGGGAATAGTCATTGAAAGGCGTTTCAGTTTATGATTTCAATTTTTGCGTGTGAACTAAACTTGAACTAAAAACGTCAGTTCAAGTAAGGTGAGAAAGTGTAGTTATATTAGCATTGCACTTTGTCGTCGAAGATAACATTATGTTCGATACAAATAAAGAATTAGAAATCTAATAAGATATGAACATTTTTAACTGGATATTAAAAAAAATATTTTTAAGATAAAAGTTGCATAAACGACTAAGTCACAGCAACGTGAGAAGCGAGAAGGTACTACTCCAGAAAGATTTTGAAGACAGTACTCGCTAATCCAGGATCTCACCTTTGATTTAAACTGATGCAAGACATCAGTAGCTATTGAATCGAGCTGTTCCATCACACAGGCTGCCAAAATGGAAAAAAAGGTCAAGGAAAAACAATAATCATAAACAAATGTAAGAAATGGACTTCACGGTGTCCACCATTGTGGATATACAAATGTGACTTTCAATAAGAGAGCGTCACAGAAACTACGGGAGACAACTTAGTAATTCTTTTATTTTTACGTTTTCATTTGTTTGAACAACTTTATTTAGGTGGAGAAAGCAGATTCAAAAGAAATTTCAAAGTAATGTTTTTAGATATTTTTGGCGGAATTCCCAATTAGAACATTTGAAATTTGATTAATATTTTTAGCATTACAATAATAATTTTTCATGGACATAGTCTATTCAAAATTTAAGATATGCAATAAATTTGTACTAAGCTTAGTTTACTCTTGCAGAAAGGCTAAATTATTGGAGCATGTCTCAGGATCAAACTCACTACACTAGCTAATTGTAAGGTTACCAACTATCCCACAAAATGCAGGATTGTCCTGAACTTTGATGCTGAAGGACATGTCCCATATCAGTTAATATCCTGCATACTGAGAATTGATGTGTAATTTTTAAAAATACACATAAATTTTACTTTTTTAAAGACATTTTTAAAATTTTTGTGCCAATTTCGTTTAAAGTTTTTTTTTTTGGATGTTTTACTCCAAAGAGTATATAAAATTGTTTATCTTGAATGAGTATATAACAATGTAAAGATATATTAAAGATTAAAAGAAAACAGTATAAAATATCATGTAATATATTTTTCTGTGGTGCAAACTACAGAAGAAAATGTTACTTTATATTTTTATACTATCTTTCTTAAATTACAATTGTTTCACACTAAAATTCTAATAGGACAATTATTTTGCAATGACCATATAAAATTCTTGAATGAAAATCTGTTACATATGAATTCCTATCATGGAAAAATACTAAACCAATTTAATTTAGCTTTTGAAACCCAACATTCTCTTCCCACATTCTCATTTTAAGGTTCCCTAGTTAACAATCTGCTAGCTAGACTAACTCACTAATCTTTGCTTTTTTTTATTTTTTTTACAATGATAATTACCCTTTACTAGAGCCACTTGAGACACAGTTCATGGAGATATGTGGGGAAGATAACAGTTAACACTAGACTTGAACAGGTTAAGATTGAAGTGATTGGGGAAACATCCTCTTAGGAAACAGTTCCACAAAGCAGTGAATCATATGAATCAAGTGATTAATTTAATTACAAGTGTAGGATGCCCTACAGGAATAACAATATAACAATACCCTACATATCATTGCTTTATGTCTTGTCCTATCTATGTATTTACTCAGAATAACTTAGCAAATACTTAGATTTATAATTGTGTGAGATCCAGTGAAGATTAAACATATGACACCAGCAAATAAATTTGGCATTAAAATCTTGAGAGTGAGAAGGTTTCAAATTTTATAGGATCTTGTTTAAATATCCACAAATTTATCGAAAATGAAAACTGAAGAATGAACACTGAGGTTTTGTATAATATAACATGCAATACAATTTAGTTACAGAGGAATTGGGCTTTGCTAACCAGATGTTTCCTTTGTTGCCAAATGGTCAGGCTATATGACATTTCTGTGTAGGATACAGGCTCAATTCCCGTTGTAGGACACATATTTTCTATGAAATTTCTCAGACATTCAGGCCAGTAAATGTAGTTAATACTGTTTATTATAAACAGCATTTACTTAAATATTTATCTATAAAAATAATGTATAAACAGAATAATATATATATATATATATATATATATATATATGTTATTCCTCACTGGTAGCATGACTTGGAGTTCCATGCACAGTGCAATCATCAGGTGCCGAGTAGAGATTGACCGTTACACAATTTGAATTTTTATAAAAATATCTGGTTAACGTAATGCTGGCACATTCCATATATTATATGGTTATTACAGTTTTTATTAAAAAAGAATATATATATATATATATATATATATATATATATATATATATGCAGAAATATAGTTTTAAAGTGTGCTATATTTATGGGATAAAGTGCTCAATATCAGAGATAGAGCGTATAAATATAAAAGTAAACATTGAAGTCAACACTCACAGGCGACAGGCTGTTTCATGCTATACGCAATCGTCAGGCTGATATTTAACAGTCCCCCCACGAGGAATGTATGTGGCACAAGGCCGAGTTTAACGTGGGTTTCTCCGAGCCTGTAGGCTTGGCCAAAAAATAATCCCTTAGAACCCGCATAAGCGGGTTTTGGATCTGTCTACCTCCCCAGGCAAAACTTTGCCCTTCGGCAAAGCTTCGTCCTGGTTCCTCTCTGCCAAAGCAGAGAGTTTGACAGAGGCCTGTGAATGATGGATTTTTCTTGATTATATATGTGGGTCAGTATTGCATTGTGGGTAATCCATTCTGGCAGTTATTTTGGTGGGAGTGGATTTTTTGGGGATTTGTTTAGGTTGCTTATTTAATAGTTTGTTTTGGTCTGGGAAGATAAAGCTATTTATTCGTCCAATTTTTGGATTGATTGCCATAGTCTATTCTGTTATTTTGGTGGGAGACAGTTTTTAATTTATTTATTATTTTATTTGGATTGATTATTTTTACTTGTTTTTGCTTATTTATGTCTATTTTTATTAGTTCTAACCGTTATTTTAGCGAGAACAATTTGTTAATTTATTTATTTGGATTAATTTTTACTTATTTTTTCTTATTTATTTCATTATTTTTTATTTTGTATATTTTTATTTACTCTATCCGGTTTTTTTATCATTATATAGCATTATAGCTATTTTCACATCCAATTTTTGGATTGATTGTTGTAGTCTATTCTAATGGTTATTGGTTTGTTAATTTGTTCATTGCTTACTTTATTTGTTTGGGTTGATTATTTTTACTTGTATTTTATGTATTTATTTTTTATTTTCATTTGTTCTCTTTCATCTATTCTAACGGGAGTGGTTTATTAATTTGTTTATTATTTTCTTGGGTTAATTTATTTTACTTGTTTTTTATTTCTCTTTATTCTTTTCAGTTTTTGATTTTTAAGTAATGTAGTAAAAATTTATTTTCATGTCTGCATTTTGAGATGAGCTCAAATCGTTTATTTAGTAATTTATTTTGGTCTGGGAAGGTAATAATAGCTATTTTTTCCTCCAAGCAAAGCTTGCAGGTTTTGGATTGATTGTTGTAGGCTGATGATCTTTTTCTTATTTTCCATGATATTTTTGATGTAATTTGTGTTTTGTTTTTAATTTCCCAGGTATACTTAGAAAGCATTGTGCTGTTTGCATATTTACTATTTGTGAAAGATGTTTTGTGTGCATAGTTTCTTTGTTTCCAGGGTCCTTCAGTTACTCCTATATATACTTTTTCTTCATTATCTGGTGATTTTACAGTAGCTTGTTATATTATGTTGTTTTGTAAGCAATTATTTTTTAAGGGACATTCATTCTTTATTCTACAGTTACATATGGGTTTAATTTATTCAGGTGGTTTGTTGATAGTTTTCCTGTTGTGCTTTTTTTATTATTTGTACCATGTTATCGGTGCAAATGTAGCTGATTTTTACAGTGTTTTTATTGAATATTTTGTGTAGAGTTCTTGATTCTGGGAAGTGTTTGTTTAAGTGTTCAAGTTTGTTTTTATGTTTTTGCTGTATGGTGGGTTGAACCATATGATATTTCTCTTCCTGTTGGCCTTTTTTTCCTCTGTGGTGAGTATGTGAGTGTTGCTGGGAATCCACAATCTTTTAGGACTGTTTTGTAATCTTTCTTAGCTTCATTAAATATGGTTTTATTGAAAGAATTCTCGGAAAAAAGAAGAGATCTTTGACACTACAATGGGAAGCTTTGATGGTACAGAGATCTGCAAAATCATAGGTATATATTTACTACATGAACTAAGCAAAATAATAGATAAAAATGATACAGGACTATACAGAGACAATGGTCTCATAATCTTAAGAAACTGTAACAAACAAAACACAGACAGAACTAGAAAAGCTATAATAAAGATTTTCAAAAATAACTGATTTGACATAGATATAATAACTAACCTAAAGAAAGTAGATTTTCTAGATGTTACCTTCAACCTAAGAAATGGAATATATAAACCATACAGAAAACCCAATGATAAACCACTGTACATAGACACATCTTCCAATCACCCACCATCAATAATCAAACAGATACCAAAATCAATTAACCACAGACTTTCCAACAATTCTAATATACCAAGTCACTGTAAAATCACCAGATAATGAAGAAAAAATATACATAGTAGTAACTGAAGGACCCTGGAAACAAAGAAACTATGCACACAAAACATCTTTCACAAATAGTAAATACGCAAACAGCACAATGCTTTCTAAGTATACCTGGGAAATTAAATAGGTACAAAGTTGAGAATTGCAGTAAGATTTTGATGGCTTTTTTACTTAGAGTTGGATACTCTTTCATAACAGAAATCCAAAAGGCATCCAAAAGGCATCCAATGGCAGTTGTGCGTACTTCAATTTGAGACCACGATCACTGGAAAGGCTTGCTAATTCTTTCTCTTCACATAACTCAAAATTGAAAAGGTTGATGACTGATAAATCTAGGAATGGATTGCAAATCCAATTGAATTCTTCAATGCTGACTGAGGGAAAATAATCTTCAATTTTATTTTCTAAACATGTCAAATGCTCACTAATAATGGGAATCATCTCGGTAACGCTGGTTTTGCGAACTAAGGGAAATATATCCAAATCATCTACCTTCATTCTTTTCTTCCATATTGCAACTTTTTTCTTAAAAGCAACTAATTTATCTGTTGCCATAAGAATATTTTCATACCTGCCTTGCATATTGCTGTTCAGACTATTGAGATCTCATTTAAGTACTCTATTTTAGACATCCACAATTCATTTTTAAGGTATTTACAAAATCTATCAAGTTTTTCATTTTCAAAAAAAATAAAAATTTCTTTCTGAAGCTCAATTACGTGAGATAGCACATTCGATAA